CCAGTAACGAAGAATATGGTCTCCCCTGTCTCCTTTTCTCACCCTTCCTTGCCCATAAGCATTTAGGGGGAGAGAAGAGGGAGATGAGGTATTAAGCAAGAAAGAAGAGTCCTCTGCTCAATTTTCTCTCCTCCTGCTATCTCAGCTGCAGGAGAATCCCTAGCTGTCATCTGTCAACAAACTGAAAGCATATAGATTTTGTCTTTCTTGGCGATTTCTTTTCTCCAAAAAGGAGGCAACAGAGAATCTTCTACAGCAAAGGTGAAGTACATCGCCCTCAACTCCAGAATCACCTTCAATCCTTTTGCTGCCGTGGGAGCCAAAATAAGCAGCATTTGCACATTCAAATGAACTTCAGAAAATTATGGTGAGGATGGGTTTGGGTTTTGTTCTCTAAAAAAACATTCCTCACGGAAAAAAGCAAAACATTCTATTTTACATTTTGGAAAAGCGGGCAAGTGAGAAAGAGGAAAATATAGGAGGGAATTCCTATCAGGGAGATGCTTTATTCAGTAAATGAATGGCTAATGTGAAATGCAGACCAAAAGAATGGATTTATCTGTGCAGCCTGCTACTACAAGACAGGATTCTGTCTGCCCAAACACTAAAATAAAAAAAAAACAACAGACTTAAAACGCAACATAACCTGGTGAAGCTACTTTAAAACAAACATTAACGTTTGCCCTCTTCACAGTTTGGGAGGGCAGGATGTAACCGTAACAGTCAATGTGCTCTAGAGACACTCTTGTGCCAAAGGCTACACAGGTGGAAGAGATACCAGAGTTTAAACTTTCAAGTTTCAAAGTTTGAAGTGAAGACAAAAGTTTCTTCTCCGCCTTTTTATTTTAAAAGGCACCTGTTTCCTACCTGCATGCTAAATGAACTCAAGCTTGTCACAAGGCACTTAATGCCCATTAGGAAATACTTTACGTGTACCCAAGTGGTGACATTCTTGGCCGATAAGAAAATCATAGTTTGGGTTGGAAAGGACCTTTAAAGGTCATCTAGTCCAACCCCCTGCAATGAGCTTCAACTAAATCAGGTTGCTCAGAGCCCCATTCAACCTGACCTTGAATGTTTCCAGGGATGGGGCAACTACTGCTTCTCTGGGCAACTGTTCCAGTGTTTTACCACCCTCGTAAAAAATTTCTTCCTTCTATGTAGTCTTAGTTTAAAGCCATCACCCCTTGTCCTACCACAACAGGCCCTGCTGAAAAGTCTGTCCCCATCTTTCTTACAAGCCCCCTTTAAGTACCGAAAAGCCGCAATAAGGTCTCCCTGCAGCCTTCTCTTCTCTAGGCTGAACAACCCCAACTCTCTCAGCCTGTCTTCATAGGAGAGGTCCTCTAGCCCTTTGATCATCTTCATGGCACTCCTCTGGACATGCTCCAGCAGGTCCATGTCTTTCCTGTGCTGAGGGCTCCAGAGCTGGACACAGTAATCCAGGTGAGGTCTCACAAGAGTGGAATAGTGTAAAAATCCATTTACTTTTGTTAGTAAAATCCTTGACATTTTTCTCCCTCCTACAAAAAGAGCAAATTCCCAAATCCAAAGAAGCTTGTCTAGATGCAATCCCTCATCCTCAACTCACACTACACGTAACCAACACTTTCAGCTAATATCCTTCTCCAGCATATTTTTCAATGAAGTAAAAAAAAAAGAAAAAAGAATTTAGCCAGTGATCAATGCACATACCTTAATAATGTCAGCTAGAAATTAATTTGACATTATTTGACATTATTTTGACTCAAGAGTAGAAACACAGGCAGGATTTTGCCTGTGATGTATTTCCAAAATCAAGCACTAACAAAAAAGACAACCACAAAACCCCTTCCTTGAATCTTTAGAGTGGAAATAAAACATGTGTTGACTACCCTTCAAGACAAGATTGAAGACTTCAGTATCATTTTCACGTCTGCTTGCATGCTTGAGGTCTAAGACTGACAACTTGTGAGAAACATGAAAATGAAGAGGAAAAATCATGTCATCCTTAAAATATTCCATGACAAAGGATGCCATAAAAATATTTAAAGTCAAGACCTACAGAATCCTAGATTCTGGATAAGATTCCACTAAACTGAATGCCAAGCTGCTTTCTTTCTACTAACATTACTGGAAAACAAAGCAATAAAAACATTTACACCAAAAGAAATGAGACTTTTTTCCTGTTTAAAAAAATAAAGGTCTGTAAATCTGTTTGAAATACCTTCTCTTTAATGATAATCTTCATGAGTGCATTCCGTAAGTCAGAAATTCTCAGCTACTTTAATTCCTTCTTCTAGAAGCAGTGAGACTGCAAGGCCTACGGTGCACAGAGAAGTCATTGGCAATCCTCATGTAATCAGCCATAAAGACTTCAAGGACACAAGCAACATAAAGGTACAGAGAAAGCAGAGAAAGTAGATCTATATCTACTTTTCAGGCAGTTCTCTCTCTTTATGGCATAATAGTGAGAGCTTTTAATGCTGAAGGGAAGTAAACTCAAGGGCAAGTTCAAACCACCAAAGCTAAGCCACTGATTATTTCTCACACTCCACTTGAGCAGGACTGTGCTGCTTTGCTGGACCAAACTGCTTTCATTAATTGTAGGCAAAAATATGTCTCTTGGTACAAAATTCTGCACATCCTGCCCCACAATGCCCACTAGCATCTTGGGACACTATGCAGCAGTTAATGAGACAGCACTGGGATGGAAACATTTGGCAGTAAATTGCACAAGGCCATCACATCTCATGGGGAAGACATTTGAGACTTCCTGCCAGAAGAACATATGGCTTTTTAACTTAGAAGAGTCATTTTCACCTGACAGTATTAACAGGTGACAGCAAAGGTCATATTTTGGTTGCACCTTCTGGGTAAGAAATTAAAAAATGCACCTGGAGGACACAGAATCAAAATAAAGTATATTATCTCTCAGAATTAGAGTTTGCTAGAGGATTACTTCAAGGCATTACTCTGATTAGGTATGAGTTTATGCAGCTTTGATGACTCTGAAACTCTACCCACTCAGCAGAAACGTTAAGTCTATCCAAGTACGCCTGGACAAGATTAAATGTGTAGGAAAATCAGTAATCAAGACTTGTAGGCCAGGTTCTTTCAGGCAACTGTGTTGCATAACGAGGCCCGGGGAAAAGAAAAGGAAAAAATAATAAGATGGTTTCACAGACTTCCAGTCAGGGAGAAGAGACTAAGTATTTCAGCAGCTTTTAGTTCCTTTCTTTTTTTTTTTTCTTTTTTTTTTTTTTTTTAAATTACATACCAAAGAATAAGCACATGGAGACACTGAAGAATTAACTGTTTGCATCCAGGTTCTCACTGTTACACCAAGGATGCTGGTGTCAACCAGTGCTGCAGAATTTTGATTCCTGAAAGGATTCTTAAACAAGTTCTAAGTCTTAAGAGGAACAAACAAAAACACATTTTATTAAGTACTTTCTAGGTGTGGCCTTCCAATTCTTTTTCCTCAAAAAATATGGGATTCCCTTAGAGCAATTATTAGTGTTATGCTTGCTTTTCTCTGTTCTTGTGCACAAATCTTCAAAAATCATTATCAAGTCAAAATACAGACACTGATTTTACAGAAGATTATTCAGACACAGACTCAAGGACATGTACAATTCATCCATCTCTGACAGTTCACTTAGATCACATGGACATGAAAAACAACCTTCAGGGACTTTGGAACTAGAAAGTGACTTTTCTTTGAAGGATGCTTTTCATCTTTGTTCCAAACTATTCTCTTTTGAAATTAAATTATATCAAAGAATTCAATTAAATGCACTTTATCATTACTATTTAAATATGTGCAAGTGGGTTTTTTCATTTTCTACAAGAAAACCAGAATACAGAAAATAAGGAAATTGATTGTTTATATTCATTCCCTTATGAAATATATCAGAATCTGGATGCCAGAAAGTCGTGATATACCATACTATAGGCATCAAAGTTTTTATACTGGTTTTTTCCAAGAACTCTTTTTACATTGTTTGCCTGCTTCTCAGGTGACCCTCTCACATTTTTATTCTCCCCACAATGGGAATTCTTCAGAGGGCTTCCTATCTGTCTCAGCAGCCCTCGGGATATATCCTGCCCTGTAGTAAACCTACTGTAATTAAGGACAGATTGGCGGGGATGTTGTTGAGGCACCTGAAGGAAACATAAAAAGCCACCCCGTATCCAGAGTTCTACTGCAGCTATTCCTATTATATCAAGTCCTGCTCCTGCTCTTTTACCAGGCAGTGCAGTCTGTGGATGGAAAAACACTGACCACCCTTTCAGAACGCCAAAGGTCCAACTCACAACATTATGGACAGAGATGTAGAACTGGGTGAAAAAAGTGAAAAAAAACTGAGCTACATGGGGACTGAGAGGTTCATGCCTGCAGAGCTCAACGCAGAATCACACTGTTCGATATTTTAGGCTCATAGAAATTTGCCACAGTTTTGGTGGTTTTGTTTCTTTTTTTTTTTTTTTTGAAATAGCAGCATGGGGAACTCTTTCTAGATCTAAAAGAAAGAAAAAAACCACTGGAATAAATCTGCCACAGCAGCATCCTTCCATGCAGAAAACTAGAAACATGATTTTTCATCGTAGCGTTGCATAATACTACATGTATTTTGAACAAATAGATCTGTATTGTGATTTCAATCTCAAAAAAAAAAAAGGCAAAACAAGACAACCAAGCAGGTTCTGCACTATCGTGAAGAATACAGGCTTATCTACCTGTTCTCCATGTCCACTTTTTTTTCATCTTGCTGTCTCCAGAACCTGATTTCCCTGAGAAGACTTAGGGCAATCTCTTTTCCTCCTGCCTTCTGATTTCAATAGATTTTGCATCTTTTTTTAAGGTAAAGAAAAAAAATGATACCTGAGACTACAGAAGCTTACAAGCTGCTCACCGCAACTTACTCTCTGAGGAATAGTTATTTTTGTGTGCTTCAGTATCATAATTAAAAAACCCCAAGACACACAAACTGATATCCAAGAGAGCTTATGCTCACCTGATGACAGTGTCCTGTTATGATGCTGGCCCACTTGATGCATGCTTTGCTGTAACAGAGTCAGGCATTCTCCAAGGCAGCTCAGGGTGGCAGCAGAGGTAGCTTTTAAAAGCAGCAAGTCCTGATCCAAGGCAGAAAGGGGGCCAGAACTTGGGAGAGCTTCAATGGCTTGTACGAGATTCTTCTGTTGTCCTTCAACTTGGCTCATGATCTGTAAAGATCCAAAAACATCTGCTGTCATGGGAACTACCACTATGTAGCTGTTAAATTCTTATGGGTTGATATAGTGACTAAATGTGAAGAACTACCACAAATGGATGTTAATGTTCTGATCCAAATATACCATATACTTACCTACAAAAACTAAGGGCTTGAGACTACCAAAGGCCTGTAAAAATGTCAAGACTATGTTAGGAAAATCGTCTCTTAAAATAGTAGGTTCATAGTAGGTTTAATAGTGTGACTCATACGTTCTGAAAGTCTTCGTAAGGAAAAGTATGAAAATGCTACTTCCTTCTCCATTAGTAACTTAGGCTTAGATTTCCTTTCCTTTGTATGTGATCTAGAACACACAAGAAATCTACACTGTCCTTTCTCCTTCTCTCCTACATAAAATACCTAATCACAGTTTAAGAACAGACATTTCTCATTTCTCAAGCATCAATAAGGATTTGTTTTTACAAAAAGAAAAAGGTAACTTGTAAGTTTACAGACATTAGCACAGGATGCAACTTAGAGTACTTATTTACTATCAGATATGAATACCAGCTGCCAGGGAGAAAGTTAATCTGTTTCTAGATTTGGACCATCCAGATGAAGATGAAATGCGTGCTTGTATAGCAGATAAAAACAACATCATTTGAGCGGGCTGTTCTTTAAACAAATTGGCAAGCTTCCAAAATCTTTCCTAAAGCCAAAGGAAAAAGGAGATGTTTGAAACTACTCTCCCCGTTTTTACAGCCTACAGGAAATTACACATGCACATAACAAGCCTCTTTTCTTACACTTACCTTGCAAAAAACCTACTGCAAAAACTTACAAGTTCATACTTGAGGTATCCAAAGCTTTCAGAAAAAATATCTGAAGATTTTGTAAGCAACAAAGATTCAAGCTCTGCTTGTCTGAGCTACTACACTGTAAAAATGTATTATTATGAACTTCCTGAGGTTTTTATTATCATTATTATATTTTCAAAGTATGGTGTACTTCCTATAGCCTCCCTATGCTGTGGTAAATAAACTGATTAAAAAAGTATACATGGAGTGCACTGAGAAGCAAGAAAGGAAACTGAACTCAAAGATGCAAATAACCATCCTTGCAAACAAGTTTAGAATTAAGCAAAAAGCTGTTGTTGCAAGGATCGTAAGGAACTTTAGCTAAATGCCTTGCTGAAGGTTACAATAATGACATTTTAACAGTCAACATTTAAAGCAGAGGTCAAAGCTTCAGTAAAAGCCACAGTCAATTTTAATTCCCTTTGACAGAAAACAAGATCAGTCAGAAGGTGACACAGACCCCCACGACATGAGCTTTAGGGATCCGCTAACACCCCAGGCAGTGCCCTGCTTTGAGAAGCCACACACCGTGTAACTGAGCTCCACAGCACAGAGGGTTGCTTCAAAGCTAGAACAAAAACAAGAGCACCACAGACACACACTCATGCAAATATTCCTCCCTCAGGAAAAGAGCTCAGGAAGGCAAATGAAGGAATGACTGGGATAAAAAAGATTACCTTCTCCCTGTAAGATTGCACAATATAATTGTATGGAAAACTGCTTCCCTCCTTTTCCCAACCTGAATACGAATGTGAAGTTGAAAATCTGACGGTTGCATGCTTCACTGCGACAGAAATGTTCTAGTTTCATTTCTAAGTGACTGTTTTTCCTACCTTCCTTTTTCTTTTTTTTTTTTTTCCTGGTGAGAAACACTTATATTTATCAAAGATTTGCTTCTATAGGAAATAAAGTCCAAAATAAAAATTTGAAAACTTCAAACATTTCCATTTTCCCGTCCCCATTAATAAAGGGCAACTATATTTTTCTGCAGCTAAAACAGGAGCATAAGATAAACTGGCCACAACACTCAGGAAACATCTGGAAAATTAACTGAATGCCTGCAGTTATCACCTACCCCAAAACTATATTCTTCCTAGATTAGGAGACATTTAAATGAAATCAGTCCACCACAAACTTCTCCAATGTGGGCCCTTCCCAATGGTTGCAGTTCTTCACAAACTGCTCCAGCCTGGCTCCTTTCCACGGGCTTCAGTCCTTCAGGAATCGACGGCCCAGTATAGGTCCCACACAGGGTATCAAGTTCTGAACCCAAACCTGCTCCAGCATCACCTCCTCTCTCCACAGGGTCACAGATCCTGCCAGAAGCCTGCTCCAGCGTGGGCTCTCCTCAGGGTCACAGCCTCCTCTGGACATGTCCACCTGGTCCAGCGCAGGGTCCTCCATGGGCTGCAGGTGGATCTCTGCTCCACTCTTCACCTCCATGAGGTGCAAAGGAACAGCCTCTCTCACCATGGTATTCACCATGGGCTGCAGGGGAATCTCTGCTCCAGCATCTGGAGTCCCTCATCCTCCTCCTTCTTCACTGACCTTGGTGTCTGCAGAGTTGTTTCTCTCATATATTCTCACTCCTCTCTCTTGCCACTGTTGTACAGCATTTTTTTCCCCTTTTGAAATTTGTTATCACAGAGGTGCTACCACCATCCCCTGATGAGCTTGGCCTTGGCCAGTGGCAGGTCCATCTTGGAGCCAGCTGGCATTGGCTTTATCGGATACGGGGGGAGTTTCTAGCAGCTTCTCACAGAAGCCACCATTGTGGACCCCTCACTCTTGCCACTGTTGTACAGCATTTTTTTCCCCTTTTGAAATTTGTTATCACAGAGGTGCTACCACCATCCCCTGATGAGCTTGGCCTTGGCCAGTGGCAGGTCCATCTTGGAGCCAGCTGGCATTGGCTTTATCGGATACGGGGGGAGTTTCTAGCAGCTTCTCACAGAAGCCACCATTGTGGACCCCTCACTACCAAAACCTTGCCAAGCAAACCCAATAAAGTTCTTCTGAATAACACTACCCTTAAAGAAACCTACCGACCAATGACACCCTCACAGAAGACTGACTGCAATGGGAATCATCTCTGATGTTTTCCTCAGTAGGTCATCTCTCTACTGCTTGCTCCAGAAGAGCCAACTCACAGCTGCTGTTGCTGACTGCTTCCTCCCCTCCCAGGCTAATCTTAAAATCCTGCGTGATTGCTTTCCCTACTTATCCCAGCCATAGCAACTGCTAACTACTTCTTCACAGCTGGAATTGCACCTCCTGGATCTTCCTGCTGTGAACACACCGCCAACTGTGACGTACGGGAACAAACCACTATGTGGCAAGATCCCAAACAAATGGGCAAGTAGAAATGTCTCTGTTCTTGGGGTCACTCCTACAGCACATGAAAGACAGGCAGAAAAAGCTATGAGATGCCCTAGGATTGCTAAGAGATATATTTCAGACATAAGAAGAAGAAAGAACGTTCATCAATCCAGTAAATGAGCTAAAATTAGCTGCTAAAAATTAATTTAAGAAATAATAATGAAAAATTGAGGTGCTACTTTCTCTGCTAAAAAGAAAAAGTTACAGTAATTCAGTATTTTGTTAAAATACTACTTGATGTATTAATCTTTCCCATACAGAGAAATCTTATAAAACCTGAATGTCATTTTTGATTTAAGGCTTCAATTTGTTTCTGAAACTAGAAAAAGAGCAAGAGATTTCCAATTATTAAGTATAATAAACTCTCTGTTAAAGATTTTCGTCCCACCTGAAAACAAAGATAAATAGAAACTTCAAAGGAAGAAAACTCAACAGCCATACCTAAATGGAAGAGCATATGACTGCTTTTGACATGATTTTCTTTACAGTGGAAATGTTTTTGTTATCCAGACTCCAGGACTAGGAGGCCTAAGTCTGTTTGTCCAGCCCAGACAGGTATAATGATAATCAGAACGTCTTTATTTCTAGAATTACTGATTTCGCCCAACTAACAGCACATCACAACAACCTAAAGCAAACACCAGCTTTAAGCCATCTACAAAACTGCCTGATCCACAGCTGTCTTGGGGGCATCTCCCAAGACATAGTGATTTCAAGCTCCTTGAAGCAAAGGAAGAATGACATCAGCCATATTACCTTGAAGGACAAGCAGATACTCTCCCTTTGTCACACAGGCCGTGTGGAGCTGGTCAAGAAAATAGTGTCACCAATCCTCTCTTTCTGTATAACAACTTAAATACTTCAGATACTCCTACCCTTCTTTTGGAATATAAAACCTGAGGAAGACTCTTCAGACCTCCCCAGCCACAATCGTGTGGCATCTTCCTTTTCTAGTACTGATCTTCACACATATTGAATCCTTTCAGAGTAGGTATTAAGATACACCTACCCATGTGTATGGAAAAATCTTAAACACTCCAGAGAAAAAGGAAAATATTCTGTTAGCGCTGAGAATCCACAGAAATTCTGTATCGTCAAGCTCCTCTGTGACGTGCTAGAAATAATTCATCAAGGGGACATTCAGCTCCATCAGTTAATAACTCTTTTAACTACTGTAGCATTCTCTGTGCACCACCACTAGCAGCACATTGTCTGCCTACTTATCTCTAGGCAATTCCTTTGAAAGATTTAATGCAGTGATTTTTATTTTTAAATCCTTTCCATTACTGACTGCATGCAAGTTGAAAACAGTTATTAAAAACATGGGAAAATAAACAATACAGTGCTTATATGAAAAACAGAGCATCTGTAAAAATAAACTGTTGTGTGGGAAAAGCTTTAGACATTTAAATAGTAACAGAAATGCAACACAGATCACTTTCTTACCACCTCTAAGTGAAGTTGCCCTTCTGAGCCTTCGAAGGCTGGGAAGTAGCCAGTTTGCTGCTTCACTTTTGGGGAGGGTTTTTTTGGGTTGGTTGGTTTGTTCTGTTCTTTTTAAATAGAGTACTATATGAAAACACGATCTCTCTCTCTCTATCACACACACATATACACTGTCTTGAAATATTAGTTTCTTGCTTTTAGACTACAGTACCAAAAGGAAAACATTTCAGAAGACATTGGGAAGGGGCATAAGGAGAGACCAGTTTTTCAAACCACCCTAGAATAAGTTGTGATACAAGTCAGGACCTTGGTTCGCACTGTTAAATAAGCA